GGCACCGATGATGGCACCCATGTTGACCCTATAATTGCCAGCAGGAGGTTCGGAGGTTCCCCCGTCTGAAGTGGTACTAGGAGACGGTGACCCGGGTGCAGCGCTGACGTCACCCCAGTGATCGGTGCTAGAAGATGAGACGATCGACGAGATGGATGAGTCGGAGGGAGAGGGTTCGCTGGTGATGCTGGATGGGGAAGTGGTGGTGGAGGAGGGAGAAGAGGGACTGATGTTGTTATTGAGAGAAGGATTTGAATTTTAGATGGCGTCAGGAGGAGGATATTGTAGAGGCGGTGGAAGTCTGGTCGGCTGGGAATTCTCCGATATTTCTGAAATCTCTGGAGATTCAACTAATCCTGGAGCGTCGGGAGTATCGGGAGTGTCGGGAGTGTTGGGCGTGTCGGAGGAGTCAGGAGAATCCTGGGGTGCTCGAGGGATGAGGAAATTAACCCAAAATGCACTACGCGTTTTCAGCGGATAGGATGAGCCATTGTTGCCGTTGACCATCACTCCGTAAGACGACCTTTCGAAATGCCGTCAAAGAGGTCGGCCTGAGTCGAGTTTGGAAAGCTCACAGTTGAGTGTCGAAAATGAGCGACGAGAACAGTCGATCTGAAAAATTCTGCTTGAACTTGGAGCGTGCTAAGATCTTGCGAGTCCTGTGCATCTGAAGTCCTAGCTCGAGAATTGAGGAAAACGTATCAAAGTCAAGCACGGAACTACCAGTCCTTCGTGAGAGGAGCGGCGAAGTAGAGGAGACAGACTGAACAATACTGGGCTGACTTTTCGAGCCCCAAGAGCGAGACTTGTGGTCTGTTCTTATTAGGAACGGGTTGACCTCCAAATCATGATTTTAATCAAGTGCCATGCTCAAAATGTATTAATCTGGAGGTTAACACACTGGTGGTAAGAAACGGAAATCACGAAAGACTGGAATGGTCTTACCGGGTCAAGACGATGAACATTGTCCAGTGCCAATCTGGTTGTTGCAGTGAGCCTTCGGTGAAAGCGGGCGACAACAGCAATGAAGCACTCCTGACTGTGTTCCAAGTACCTGGTGCGACTAGCTCGAACGAAGCGATGAAGAACTGGTGCAGTGCGTGTAGCGACTGGTGGTTGGAGAGTGCACCAGGGCAGCGAACACTACGTGGAGATCGAGCGTGTGAAGGTTGTTATCCGAGGTTCCCCCGTCTCCAATTTGCACGAGTAAACTGTTGATTAAGTAACGTTTTGTGAACGTTGATTAGCTATTCGGTTGAGGGTGGCGAGACGAAGCGGGTAATGAGATGGATGGGAACAAGAAGTAGGTTGTGGCTGAGGAACCGCGAGAGCATAATGGGCTGGGCTCCTCGGGCTTCGCAGACGCCGGGACCTCCAAGGGGACCTCGCATCAAAATCAATTCTGGTCTAGCTCATCCATGTAGCAGGTAAGTAGTTGCGACGAGTGTGAGCACCAACACGGTCCTTGGTCTGGCGTGATTCGGATGGGAGCAACACCTAAGCCTGGATCCGAATTCACCGAGAATGTACACGGTTTGCAGACTGTCAGCTATGATTATTGCTCAGCCACATGCAACAGTACGAGAACAGATGAACTCGCTAGCGCTTCAAGTGTAGTAGTACTAATCGCTCTGAACGATAATCAAAAGCCAACTGGGTTAACAGTAGTTACTCCCCCAAGCACTGTAAATGTATCCATCATACACCTGAGGTCCTCCGTCAACAACCCTCTCCTCAGCGTCCCAGCTGAAATTTCCCCACGGTGTGACATAGTGCCACTTCGTGCGCATGAAATCGGTCGAGATTGCGAACCCGGGCTGGCAGGCTACGCTCCACTCCCCGCCCTCCCACGCGGATCTTGTCGTCCCTTGTCCGCAGCAAACGCAGACGCCATTGTCGACGACTATGAAGCTGGAAGAAAGACGGACACCCAGCTGCCGGCGTTCATGAACAAATAGGTGAGGCAAGCTTGTGCTTGGAGGCTGAGCAGGCCAGCGGCGGTGATGGCGGTGAAAAAGCGGACCATGGTGGTAAGGAATTTGCATTCGGTGATATGAGCGTAGGATCTAGATCTGTTGAGGAAGTCGATATTATGTGTGAGCAAGAGGAGAAACAAATAAATCGCAGGGTGAGCATACCAGGGAGTACGATCTGGACGTTCCGGCTGGTGAAGCTAGTAGTGCTTTCTCATTGGTTCCTGGAAGAGTTTAGCAGATGGCTCTGCTGGTATCAGTGCTGGACAGACCAGCATTTATACTCTCGTGTACTCTATCTAGCAACTTTTCGATGTGTTCTCGCAAGGGTCTCCTCAGGGAAAGATCGTCTGTGAAGCAGCATCGTGACGCTAAAACGGAGTCGACCGTCGAATTCGAATATCTACGGGCGCATGCAGCGGATGACTTCGTGCAGAACCTGAGGACTTCGTAGACGTTCTAAAGTTAGCGTCCATTCAGTTTAGCGTCTCCGGCGAGTCATCCCCTTCTCCCCTTCGCACGTTTGCGACCGAAAGATGGCGCTTGAGGTGGATATGTAGCACAATATACTACTTTCATAGGAACGAACAATGCAGGTGAGCTATTGAGCTAACGCGATGTTAGGGAAGGGTACCACGACAACCAAATGAAGAGTTGGTCTATGAAGCGCAGAAAAGGCATCCCTGTCGTCGATAAAATGAAGCAGAAGTAGTACTGAGATGACCCTGAGTACCGTAGACTGCTCCAACCGGTACAGCACACATTGTACCTTGAACTTGTAGACCAAATAATCAATCCACTGTGCCGCACTGTGATTGCACTGGCGCTCACTGGCGCTCACTGGCGCTCACTGTGATCAACGAGTCACAGTGGCCGAGTGACTCAGTTCACAGTAAATTTTTGATCTGATCAGACCGTGCTTTGGCTCAGTAGCGCAGTGGCTCAGTGCACAGTGCAATTCAGGTTCGCCTCCCCGAAATTCGCACGCAGCGTCGCAGTGGGTGCATACATATGGTAGGATATCATTATAGGATGCAGCTGGACACTATAAGTTTGTTTGACCCCCCAAATCAGAGCGACCAGGGGAGCAGGAGAGCGGGCAAGGTGCCAACGAGCGCCCGGAGCGACGCCGCAATGGACCAGAGTCAGAGGTGTCGAGTGAGGAGGATGGTGCGAAAATGACGCTACATGAGGCCAGAGTACTATGCGTGAGTATTTAGTGAGATTTCAGTGGAAGTGAGAGGAGAAAAGACTCACAGACGCACCTTAACGAGATGTACACCCAGAGATCACACACCAAACCCCGTCCCAAACCCCGTCACCTCCTCCAGCGCTCACTGGCTTGCACTACACCAATCACGTCCTCAAGGTATCTCCGTTAGACGTGTATGGTGCTGCTGAAAGTTTTCTGAAGAGCCTAGTTGGCATATAGATTGTCGGGAGTGCTGCCGATGGCCATTGGTGAGGATATCATCGCTTCTTCTTCATGGGGGTTCTCGCAGCAATCAAGTGGGCTGAGAAGGCCGAGTGGAAAAAAGAGGAAGGATCAGACACGGAAGCGAGCTATGCAACAGGAGCTGGGTAGAAATCATGTTTGTAGCTGTTCTTTGAGCCCACTTTACACGCGTGTTGAGGAGGAGTGGTGGTTGAGAAGAAGAGGCGCGATCACACTGTGCCGCACTGTGCCGATCACTTTGATGGCACATTGCTCAGTGCGTCAGTGGATTGCACGGTTTACCGATGAACTTGGTGGGTATGTTCAATTCTTCGTGTTCTCGACCGCTAATCGCGGAACCATCCATAAAATCAAGCCTGCTGCTAAAGATAGTTACTGGCTTGTCTTCAGGCGGTTACGATACAATTGCGCAGCAAGGTTTCGCACTGAGTGAAGATGATAAGGGGTAAAGCAATGTATTCTTGCACGTAATCCGCCAGAAACACTCTGCACCCGCAACCTATACAATTTCCTCGCCTCAAATTTCGATCCCGACTATCGTCGGCCACCCACCCTCGTCACCCTGGAAAGTCAGAGAGTGAATCCCCGCCATAGCTACTACTTCGATAACATGATGTGTCTCCCCAGAAGCGTCTTGAAAACCATACGTCATGAAGTCCGGCCGGGTGGTGGTGAACTCCAAGATGTACACGATAGCCTGATCGCCTGTGTGCTCGGTGTAATATCTGTAATGGCTGATCCCTGCGCCCTGGAAACCTCTTCGCTGGTTGCCTGCCAGACGTCGTTGGCTTCGGCTCTCCAGTTGACACCGATTATAGGTTGATTGTGAGGGGTTGAGAGCCGAATGGAGTCAATGGTCACCTGAGGCATCGCGAAAGATCTGCCTAACGTGATTGGATGAGACTGAGGTATGAAGTAATGGGAAGCTCCGACGTACTGGCTAATGTGATTCTCCGAGAGGTTCAGCTTTAGCGGGATACTTTGGATCCAAGTCCAGGTTGACCTCTAAATACCTCCTTGAGCCCCTGTGGCATGCAAATAAACGTCCAATTTACAAGGTATGTAGCGCATTGGGGCGACGTGGAGAATCTAGATTCTAAACGTTCGGCGTTCATAGATGCATATAGACAGGGTCTAGCCTGGGATTTAGTACTAATCCTCCGGGAAGGTTCGATGCAGTCGGATCTTCACTAAGGGGCACCGGTGAACGATGGAGCCCCAAAGTGGTATACACATCTGTTATACTATGAGGTGCACGGTGCAGCTGTTCAACATTATAGCTTGAAACTATGTATACGTATTATACAACGGATGCAGACTATCTCTGACATGCGATTCAGACCCTCTCGGATCTCCTACCCTCAGCAGCCCGGTCAACCGTCTGATTGATTATCACAAGAAACCAATCATAACCACCTCCGTTAGTAGCCAGCGATATTGTGACAGTTGTGTTGAGGTCTCCTTGAACGCGTATGTTTAACGGTGAACGTTGAACGGTAACCTTGGCTCTGGACTCTTGAATGGTCGCAGCTCGTTGGAACAAAAATGTGGGTGGCTCAAATGCAATGGAGTGGACACATTGGGAATTGAACCCAACACCTCTCGCAAGGAGTTTCAACGATTCGTTGAACCAAATGCTAAGCGAGCGTGATAACCAACTACACCATGTGCCCTTGTGGCACAGGAAGGTGTCTGTCATTATAATGCAGCTCTGCTTGTCTAACTAGTCTGGTGAGCATGCAATAAATGTGAGTGTCACTGGATGACCGGTGGGAAACGCAGGGTACTCACAACCGCCGCAAAAAGAGGGACACAAACGCGCAGAGCGGAGGTGCATCCGCATCCGATGATTACGGGATCAATTCATTCAATTAAAGTGGAGCCGCCCACCAAGCACGAACAAACAAGCACTCCGCCCATGCATACGTCGCAAAATATACACAGTTAGCAAATGAGAGCGGGATCAAAATGCAAAGACGACAAACCAGTATGAATTCATCACACGGCACTGCCCAACTGGACACATTGGGAATTGAACCCAACACCTCTCGCATGCTAAGCGAGCGTGATAACCAACTACACCATGTGCCCCGATGAATTGGATTTCTGAGTTGCTATTATCATTCGTTTCGGGCGATCAAGGACAAAACCAGTGCAGGAAAATACGCTGCGTAATGCACTGTACTGTCTGCACAATGAAAGACTGTGCTTACTTTAAAGTAGATGGCTAGAACTCAGAGAAGCACTTGATGTCGAACTTCCGGCTGCCGGCATCAAATCAATCGGCCCAGGGAACTGTAAAAATGCTGCAAACATAACCAAACAACGGCTCCCCCGTAACGGCTGACGTCCAATTTCATTTTCTTTTGGGCTGTTCACGAACAATACATGTGAGCCACAGGTTCTTTTTAGTCGGACTCTCGGTTACAATGTGCATACTTTTACAACCATACTGTATTTATATAAATGAATACTGTAAACAGACGGGGTCATGCCGTATACAGAATCAGTAATACAGTATACTAAACTGTCAAGAAAAAGCTATTGCAACCCCGCTCGGCCAAAACGCAAAACTTTCAGGAATTTGTCGCATGGACACATTGGGAATTGAACCCAACACCTCTCGCATGCTAAGCGAGCGTGATAACCAACTACACCATGTGCCCGATAAGATAAGATCTTCCTGTCTGGATATAGTGGTTTCAGCTACATGAATTACTGCCACTTTGCACAGCTACTTACTGCACTTCCAGTTGCTCTGAATCCTTGCAAAATCCACTCCTCCGCGCTGGCGGCTGGGGTTATCGATCATCCATGCAGTCATATACTACCTACAGCCGACGTGACGAACTGAGGTTGCGAAAAATCTTGCAGCTGTGCTCTATGGCCATCGGTCTAAGTTCTTGGCGCTTGGCCTTGAGCTCACATCGACGTCAACGTTAGTCGGGACTCGGATGACCAAGCAGACCCAGAAACACCTCCTCCAGTCTAAGCCCAACAATGCACATTGCACCGAACCGACTCGTCGACATCGCATGCGGGCAATACTAACTGGTTACTAGTACACTCACGGCAGAATGTCTTGAAACATCCAAATTTGGTAATATTTGATCGGGGCGATCGGCCAGCGTTAGCGACCTTCTCCTCCTCGTACCTCAGTTGTAGCGTGCGTTACTGCCCGATTTTTGCTTGCAATCACGTCAAATTTTGTACTTATACCATGGGGGAATGTGTATAGTAGATGAATATGCAATAATATTTGAGACAATCACGAAATAGCAAGTGTGGGACTCTATTTAGTGAAGGGAGGCAAAAAGGACTCTAATACTTGGTGTGCTTGCCATTGTTATCCAGCAAAGCCTGAATGCGGTCGGGGAACGAAGGATACAGGGATCTAACAACATACTGATGGAAACTCTTGCTCTCCCACTCCTCTACAAGCATCTCCCACAGCTCATCTGAGGTCTGGGGCTGAGGGTCCCTATGGTTGATCCTCTTTGCCAGCTCGGCCCATCCGTTCTCAATAATGTTGATGTCCGGCGAGTGGGGAGGCCAGTTCACAAGCTTGATGCCCTTGTTCTTGATCCAGTCCTTGATGTACAAGGCAGTGTGCTTCGGGTCGTTGTCTTGAATGAAGGAAACATCTTGGATTTGGTAACCGTACATCATGTACGTGGGAAGAAGACCGGCCTCGAGGACTTGGACGTACCTCCAACGGTCCTTACAGCCGAGAGCGTCGATGCGAACGAGCTTCCCTGAGGGGTGATAATCCCCCAAACCATAGCACGAACATTCCCTCCCAATCCCCTCCTGACCGTTGCCTGCACATTCCTCGGCTCCAACGCATTCTCCCCTCGCCTACTCCTGCACCAGATCATCCCATCAGAAGAGTCTCGCACAAACTTCTTCTCATCCAAAAAAAAGGTGGGGTGTACGAGGGACCAGTCAATAACAAGAGTGGTGAGGTGGCTGGGGGAAAAGGCGTAGTCGAGTCTCTTCTGGATGTGGTTGGGGGTGAGAAGGGGCTTCTTTTGCTTGTGGAAGCCCACAAGACCTTGCTGAGAGAGACGCAGGCGGATGAGACAGCTTTTGGCAAATGGAAACAGCAGTCTCCAAACTTCTTCTGGTGTTTCACATGTGCCATTGTCGACAGCTTCAACAGCTCTATCAATGTCTTCTTCTGTCAGCTCGCGTGGTCGTCCGGTTCTTGTTCCGTAGTGGTAGCATCCGTGCTCCTTTGCCACGTCGTAGTTCCTTTTTATGGTGGTCCTAATGACAGTTGTGTCCCGAAATTCTGGTGCCTTTGTAGCAATTCAGTTGAAGCTTTTATCAAAGAGATCATGGTACATGAGGATGGCTTTTTGGTTGGTAGGGGTGCAGAAGACGCCGGAGCTTCCTTCCTGGCGTCCCATAGTGGTATACGACAAGTACAGTAGAGTATAACGTATAATTGATGTACGGTACGACGAGGAGAAGGTCGCTGTGCGCTGGCCGATCGCCCCGATCAAATATTACCAAATTTGGATGTTTCAAGACATTTTGCCGTGAGTATAATTACATAACTACCTGCAGTAACCTGTCGCTACGCTGCAAAACAGTTCTTCAGACTTCGCTGTTGCGGGAAAAGTGTGGCAGGGGCAAAAATACACAGCTACTCAATTCCAGTCTCATGGACACATTGGGAATTGAACCCAACACCTCTCGCATGCTAAGCGAGCGTGATAACCAACTACACCATGTGCCCGATAAGATAAGATC